CCCATCTTCAGAACCACCAATCACATGTGCATCGGTGTTTGTGAGACAGCAATCAGTTTTCGAAGACTGAGACAAAAAATGTTCAGATGTTATTAATTAGCTATGAAACAATGTATGTTGACTCAATACTTGATGAATAATCGACCATTCCATTTCATTAAAAGAAATGTTATTCCCTCCGTCCCATATTTTAGTTCCCTCGTGTACTTTGAGTTTAAGAAATATTGAACTTATGTGGTTGAAATATGTGCAGAGGAGAGAGAGAAACAATATGAACTACTCAAATCATCCCTTAAAAGGAATGAGAGTTTTAGTTCGGGACATCCGCAAAAAAAAAAGTAAGGGTTTAAATATAGGACAGAGGGTGCATTAATTTGGATTGCATAAGGCAATACATGAGTAACAAAGGTTGGATATGGGCAATGCTTGACTCAAGACCTTGCAAGTGTGTCCCTTGTATTCTTGCAAAAGTTCACCAGTAGACCTATTGGGGTTAAACAAACAGTGAGGCAAAGAAAGTGTGGTGTAGTAAATTATGTGCTCCAAATGAATATATGCAAAGCATTCAAGAACCAAGACTGCAAAAAATTGACCTATCCATGAGTCGAAGGGTTGAGTCGAGGCAGCTAGCAAGTATACAATTCCCATCGTTAGACAGCGAGATGCAGTTCACCGGTTGCCCCAAGCTATCAGATATTTCCCTGGCAAAACAATACCATATAGGACCTTATTTTTGCAAATATCTTGCAGGTATTTCAGCATTTAACAAAGCTATAAAATATAATTCCAAAAATTTTCAAAATTAGTACTTACCTACCAGTTCGAATGTCAAATGTTCGCACAGTACCATCAACGCTTCCAGCAATTATTTCAGTTTTTGTCACACAAACTGACATGACACTATCCAGAAATGTCTCAATAATCTGCATATTAATAATGGAAAAGTTTATATTTGTGGAAGACATAAAATTTAGGCCAAATTTATAATAACACAATACTAACCATATTATTCCTAACTGATTGATCATTGGAAACTACGTTATGTGTACTTACAAGCAAAAGCATTAACAAATAAATTTGAATGCAAGTATCTAGAATGTAGGGGAAAGTTGTTTACCTGAATTGGTTCTGTGCTGTGGGATTTGCAGTCCCAGACACGCACAGATTTATCATATCCCGCAGACACGACCACAGTAGCATAATCATTGAACTTCACTGCATTCACCTGGCAAAGATGCACGAGAAGGGAAGTGCGAGGTATTTCAAGCATGTGAGGAAACCAATGAAATAACTACTAAAAAAACTTGTACAACAAATCATAACAAACAAACATTTCTAACAGCACCCACAACAACCCAGTATATTCCAAATTCTGTTGGAGTCTTGCGGGTCAAGATGTAGGCAGTCTTACCCTGTAAATATATAGAGACTGTTCATTGCCAAAACATCATAGAATGTAAGAAGCAAAAGGATTTTTTATGCGCCATTTGGTTTCGTCCTCCATTAACAACGGACAGAATTAACAAACATTTTCATGCAAACAAAATATCATAATGATGTTCCTGGAGCAGAACCAAGTTCATTAAAGTAGACAATTTTATAAAAGGGAACTTTAATTATTTTTTTGTATAAATTAGACACAAAAAGATGTCATTCATTCATACCCCGCATATTTCTAAGTCAAAATTTGCCATACCAGAAGCATGATAAAGGGAATTTTATTACATCAGATATTATGATATTCAAACATAACAGATGGACTTTGAAATTAAGATCACACACTGAAATCAGGATAAAACCCATTCTACTGTTTCAAAATCATCTTCCAATACCAACAATTACATGCAAGCTAACCAAAAGATTGATAAAGAAGATTTTGAATTTATGAATCATCAGATATTATCATGACTGATTTTCCTCAGAAACGTCTTTTACCTCACTATCATGGCCCCTGAATTTTCTAATTACACGACCAGATGAGACATCCCAGTAAAAGATTTGTCGGTCTCCTCCACATGAACATAGCTTGGAGTTATCCCTGCATTTTGAAAGCACTTGAGTATCACACGTCATCAAAAGGTGCAGGTATAATCACAGAAAATTAGCAATAGATGTTTAAACGTTGCTGCTACGGCTCAAATGATACATTAGGTTTGCATTCTACCCTTCAACAATACTCAATACTTGAATTTTGCTTCAGCACAAAATACTTCTGTTGTTGTTTGTACTTCTTATAAAGTATACACATGAATATACTTTTTTAGAAAAAACATTGCTGGGAAAAATGATTCCACTATTCAGGATAATATATGCAAGAATAGAGAAAACTAACAATACAAGAATGCACAATATTTTAACATGGTTAAGTTTTCTCAATAAAACTACATCCACAACTTTCTATTTAAATTTGGATCATAGTACGGAGTACAACTTTGAAGGACAAATTGTAAAGCCTCTCACAAATTGTTTAGAACTTTCAACAAATTCTAAAAGACGCACATAATTTAGCATTACTATCAACAACATTACTCTCTAAAATTACTATGGATTCTTCTCCCTCGACACACAATTTTACCCTCTCTAGCATGCGATGTCAAGTCTCTCCTAGGCTTGAGGAACCAATTTTCAAAGCATCTCTCCACATTAGAGCATGATAAGGTGAGCTCTCCTTTTATTGCAAAACTCCACCACCATAAGCCACCTCCATCACTATCAATTAGCCACCATTATCAAGTTGGGAACTTGGGGTTATCCCCGGCCAACTCATGCATAGAAGTCCAAATCTGTTTCCCTTTTTTTCTTGCTGCCGACTTTCCTTTTTCCTTGTTTCATAGCTTTAGTAATTAAGATAGGAGATAAATAAATATGTAAGAATATGTTTGCACCCAACAAACATTTCGCTGACAATATATTCACTGATCAAATAAAGAAAAGTTCCCTCTGGTGAAAGGAGAGATTCGATGATTCGATACAAGAACAATGAATAAAATGAGAGAGTAACGTACTGAGTGACATGGACGTCTCGGACTTCACGGCCATGAGATTTGTACGTTTTGATGTGAATTCCGCGGTGAGGATTCCATAGTCGGATGGTTCGATCCCTCCCGCAGCTCAGGCAATAATCGCCATTGCTATTGAACCTAGCAGCAAGAACCGCTCCTTCGTGTCCTCTCAACACATTAACTTCCCTATTTGGCAGCTCTGCAGCGCTCATGCTCTCTCCCCCCTGCTAATTGGCACAGAACACAAAGGGAGTGTTGCGTTTTTCAACACTGTGGCAAACAGCTCTTCTCCTATCCTGCAACCAGAAAAAGTGGTGCCCAAGTCGCTAGGTCAAACCGAAAATATTTATCAAGAGTACAAGTGTCCAACTATAAGTAAAGAAGTGATCTACAGCATAAAAATAAAGCTTACAATCCTACAAATAATGTTAAAATAAAAGCATGTGATTGCTTATTTACACAATATGTTGTATATGAGTATATAATTACCTTCTCAATGCTCTTTACTTGGTGAGCTGTCCACTGCATAGATCTCAATTTGAGTATTGTTGCTCTGGCATCTTTGGAATAAAAAATGATTAGTTTAACATTAAACGAAGTATTTAAAATAGTGAATTAAACGAAAAAAAATGGATAGACAAATTTGATAATATGATTTTAAAAAAAAATACCCAAAAATATAACATGATAGCAGAAGCATTAGCCAAAAAACCACCCTTAAACATGGACCATTAACCAGATCGAGCAATAACCTAAGCTTTGTTCTCATTCGCCAATAATTCAACACTTCACTATTTAGATGAATATAAAATAAGCAAACATTCATATGGAATTTAACCTAATCACAGATTCACAGCACCGAAACCCACAAATCCCAAATCACAAATGATAATTGTCTAGAATAATCAAACAAATACCGAGTATTTAGCTTACTGCTAATGAAAATCCATGGTATGGAAAACATTGAGATAAAAGAATGGACGTATGTTAGATTACCTTCCGGCGGAGGCGTGGAGCACTGGAGAAGGGTCGTTCGGCGGCGGAGTGCACCGGCGGACTGCGGCGGTGTGTCCGGAATCCGGACCTGTGTGGAGAGTTTGGCTAGTGTCTTATGGCTAAATTTCACAAATGACTGTAATTTCGAAGTGGTACCTGAACTTCAAATCCTTTCACAAAAATCCCTAAACTTACACCATCTTTCACTAATGAGCCATTAGCCCGTTTCTAGTTTAACTTCCGGATATTAGGGCCAAATTCGAATTTTATATATTTTAAAATTTTCAATTTGACCTCATTTCTTCTTTTCTTTTCTTCCACGCCCCCCGCCGCCACCTGCCGGTCAAAGTCGCCGGAAAATGAACTTTTTCCAATTCCGGCGGGACCAATGTCATTCTCTTCGTCTTGAGACGAGGATCAATAATATCCAAACCATTTTGTCTAATTTGGCCTGTAACTTCTCGAATCTGAATTTTTCTACTCGAAAAAACCCTAAAATTCGAAATTGGATCCAACATTGGGGGTTTTGCAAATCTTCATCAAATCTTGCAATTGAGGGGTCCTTGGAGGTCGCCCAGATGCCACGACCGCATTGGCGTTGGTGCCCGCCGTCAATTTCGCCGGAGTNAGAAAAATTCAGATTCGAGAAGTTACAGGCCAAATTAGACAAAATGGTTTGGATATTATTGATCCTCGTCTCAAGACGAAGAGAATGACATTGGTCCCGCCGGAATTGGAAAAAGTTCATTTTCCGGCGACTTTGACCGGCAGGTGGCGGCGGGGGGCGTGGAAGAAAAGAAAAGAAGAAATGAGGTCAAATTGAAAATTTTAAAATATATAAAATTCGAATTTGGCCCTAATATCCGGAAGTTAAACTAGAAACGGGCTAATGGCTCATTAGTGAAAGATGGTGTAAGTTTAGGGATTTTTGTGAAAGGATTTGAAGTTCAGGTACCACTTCGAAATTACAGTCATTTGTGAAATTTAGCCATAAGACACTAGCCAAACTCTCCACACAGGTCCGGATTCCGGACACACCGCCGCAGTCCGCCGGTGCACTCCGCCGCCGAACGACCCTTCTCCAGTGCTCCACGCCTCCGCCGGAAGGTAATCTAACATACGTCCATTCTTTTATCTCAATGTTTTCCATACCATGGATTTTCATTAGCAGTAAGCTAAATACTCGGTATTTGTTTGATTATTCTAGACAATTATCATTTGTGATTTGGGATTTGTGGGTTTCGGTGCTGTGAATCTGTGATTAGGTTAAATTCCATATGAATGTTTGCTTATTTTATATTCATCTAAATAGTGAAGTGTTGAATTATTGGCGAATGAGAACAAAGCTTAGGTTATTGCTCGATCTGGTTAATGGTCCATGTTTAAGGGTGGTTTTTTGGCTAATGCTTCTGCTATCATGTTATATTTTTGGGTATTTTTTTTTAAAATCATATTATCAAATTTGTCTATCCATTTTTTTTCGTTTAATTCACTATTTTAAATACTTCGTTTAATGTTAAACTAATCATTTTTTATTCCAAAGATGCCAGAGCAACAATACTCAAATTGAGATCTATGCAGTGGACAGCTCACCAAGTAAAGAGCATTGAGAAGGTAATTATATACTCATATACAACATATTGTGTAAATAAGCAATCACATGCTTTTATTTTAACATTATTTGTAGGATTGTAAGCTTTATTTTTATGCTGTAGATCACTTCTTTACTTATAGTTGGACACTTGTACTCTTGATAAATATTTTCGGTTTGACCTAGCGACTTGGGCACCACTTTTTCTGGTTGCAGGATAGGAGAAGAGCTGTTTGCCACAGTGTTGAAAAACGCAACACTCCCTTTGTGTTCTGTGCCAATTAGCAGGGGGGAGAGAGCATGAGCGCTGCAGAGCTGCCAAATAGGGAAGTTAATGTGTTGAGAGGACACGAAGGAGCGGTTCTTGCTGCTAGGTTCAATAGCAATGGCGATTATTGCCTGAGCTGCGGGAGGGATCGAACCATCCGACTATGGAATCCTCACCGCGGAATTCACATCAAAACGTACAAATCTCATGGCCGTGAAGTCCGAGACGTCCATGTCACTCAGTACGTTACTCTCTCATTTTATTCATTGTTCTTGTATCGAATCATCGAATCTCTCCTTTCACCAGAGGGAACTTTTCTTTATTTGATCAGTGAATATATTGTCAGCGAAATGTTTGTTGGGTGCAAACATATTCTTACATATTTATTTATCTCCTATCTTAATTACTAAAGCTATGAAACAAGGAAAAAGGAAAGTCGGCAGCAAGAAAAAAAGGGAAACAGATTTGGACTTCTATGCATGAGTTGGCCGGGGATAACCCCAAGTTCCCAACTTGATAATGGTGGCTAATTGATAGTGATGGAGGTGGCTTATGGTGGTGGAGTTTTGCAATAAAAGGAGAGCTCACCTTATCATGCTCTAATGTGGAGAGATGCTTTGAAAATTGGTTCCTCAAGCCTAGGAGAGACTTGACATCGCATGCTAGAGAGGGTAAAATTGTGTGTCGAGGGAGAAGAATCCATAGTAATTTTAGAGAGTAATGTTGTTGATAGTAATGCTAAATTATGTGCGTCTTTTAGAATTTGTTGAAAGTTCTAAACAATTTGTGAGAGGCTTTACAATTTGTCCTTCAAAGTTGTACTCCGTACTATGATCCAAATTTAAATAGAAAGTTGTGGATGTAGTTTTATTGAGAAAACTTAACCATGTTAAAATATTGTGCATTCTTGTATTGTTAGTTTTCTCTATTCTTGCATATATTATCCTGAATAGTGGAATCATTTTTCCCAGCAATGTTTTTTCTAAAAAAGTATATTCATGTGTATACTTTATAAGAAGTACAAACAACAACAGAAGTATTTTGTGCTGAAGCAAAATTCAAGTATTGAGTATTGTTGAAGGGTAGAATGCAAACCTAATGTATCATTTGAGCCGTAGCAGCAACGTTTAAACATCTATTGCTAATTTTCTGTGATTATACCTGCACCTTTTGATGACGTGTGATACTCAAGTGCTTTCAAAATGCAGGGATAACTCCAAGCTATGTTCATGTGGAGGAGACCGACAAATCTTTTACTGGGATGTCTCATCTGGTCGTGTAATTAGAAAATTCAGGGGCCATGATAGTGAGGTAAAAGACGTTTCTGAGGAAAATCAGTCATGATAATATCTGATGATTCATAAATTCAAAATCTTCTTTATCAATCTTTTGGTTAGCTTGCATGTAATTGTTGGTATTGGAAGATGATTTTGAAACAGTAGAATGGGTTTTATCCTGATTTCAGTGTGTGATCTTAATTTCAAAGTCCATCTGTTATGTTTGAATATCATAATATCTGATGTAATAAAATTCCCTTTATCATGCTTCTGGTATGGCAAATTTTGACTTAGAAATATGCGGGGTATGAATGAATGACATCTTTTTGTGTCTAATTTATACAAAAAAATAATTAAAGTTCCCTTTTATAAAATTGTCTACTTTAATGAACTTGGTTCTGCTCCAGGAACATCATTATGATATTTTGTTTGCATGAAAATGTTTGTTAATTCTGTCCGTTGTTAATGGAGGACGAAACCAAATGGCGCATAAAAAATCCTTTTGCTTCTTACATTCTATGATGTTTTGGCAATGAACAGTCTCTATATATTTACAGGGTAAGACTGCCTACATCTTGACCCGCAAGACTCCAACAGAATTTGGAATATACTGGGTTGTTGTGGGTGCTGTTAGAAATGTTTGTTTGTTATGATTTGTTGTACAAGTTTTTTTAGTAGTTATTTCATTGGTTTCCTCACATGCTTGAAATACCTCGCACTTCCCTTCTCGTGCATCTTTGCCAGGTGAATGCAGTGAAGTTCAATGATTATGCTACTGTGGTCGTGTCTGCGGGATATGATAAATCTGTGCGTGTCTGGGACTGCAAATCCCACAGCACAGAACCAATTCAGGTAAACAACTTTCCCCTACATTCTAGATACTTGCATTCAAATTTATTTGTTAATGCTTTTGCTTGTAAGTACACATAACGTAGTTTCCAATGATCAATCAGTTAGGAATAATATGGTTAGTATTGTGTTATTATAAATTTGGCCTAAATTTTATGTCTTCCACAAATATAAACTTTTCCATTATTAATATGCAGATTATTGAGACATTTCTGGATAGTGTCATGTCAGTTTGTGTGACAAAAACTGAAATAATTGCTGGAAGCGTTGATGGTACTGTGCGAACATTTGACATTCGAACTGGTAGGTAAGTACTAATTTTGAAAATTTTTGGAATTATATTTTATAGCTTTGTTAAATGCTGAAATACCTGCAAGATATTTGCAAAAATAAGGTCCTATATGGTATTGTTTTGCCAGGGAAATATCTGATAGCTTGGGGCAACCGGTGAACTGCATCTCGCTGTCTAACGATGGGAATTGTATACTTGCTAGCTGCCTCGACTCAACCCTTCGACTCATGGATAGGTCAATTTTTTGCAGTCTTGGTTCTTGAATGCTTTGCATATATTCATTTGGAGCACATAATTTACTACACCACACTTTCTTTGCCTCACTGTTTGTTTAACCCCAATAGGTCTACTGGTGAACTTTTGCAAGAATACAAGGGACACACTTGCAAGGTCTTGAGTCAAGCATTGCCCATATCCAACCTTTGTTACTCATGTATTGCCTTATGCAATCCAAATTAATGCACCCTCTGTCCTATATTTAAACCCTTACTTTTTTTTTTGCGGATGTCCCGAACTAAAACTCTCATTCCTTTTAAGGGATGATTTGAGTAGTTCATATTGTTTCTCTCTCTCCTCTGCACATATTTCAACCACATAAGTTCAATATTTCTTAAACTCAAAGTACACGAGGGAACTAAAATATGGGACGGAGGGAATAACATTTCTTTTAATGAAATGGAATGGTCGATTATTCATCAAGTATTGAGTCAACATACATTGTTTCATAGCTAATTAATAACATCTGAACATTTTTTGTCTCAGTCTTCGAAAACTGATTGCTGTCTCACAAACACCGATGCACATGTGATTGGTGGTTCTGAAGATGGGTTCGTTTACTCCTGGGATCTGGTCGATGCATCTGTGACATCCAGTTTCAAAGCTCATTCTTCTGTGGTAAAACATTCTATCAAGTATTTAAACATGTATCAATCACTATCCCACAGTCCATGAGATTACTCTGCTTATGCTGTTCCCTGTTATGCACTATGTGTATATAAATGTTATGCATGAACATTATTTTAGACTAATTCTTGCTGGTATCTCTACACTTTATTTTCTGCAATTGCAACATAACACCAAATGTGGAGAACTGTTTGCCCTTACCTCGTTTTATTCATATGCCCAACAAATCTGTCTTGTTTAGTTATACACCGTGCTTTCATTATATTTGTTTAGGACCCGAATTTCGGGAAGGTTCAAGTGACATTGGACCTCAATGTCATGGAATGACCCGGGGGTGCTCCGGTGCCCCGTTCGTAAAATTGACGGTTTCTACCCCCCTAACCCCCCCGGTAAACCCCCCACCCGGCCCTGACCCGAACACACCCCCCCCCCCCCCTTCAATTCGGGTCGGGGCCGGGTGGGGGGTTTACCGGGGGGTTAGGGGGGGTAGAAACCGTCAATTTTACGAACGGAGCACCCCCGGGTCATCCCATGACATTGAGGTCCAAAGTCACTTGAACCTTGGTGCCCGAATTTTACCTCTTTTTTTATTTTTTAGATTGCGATCCCCGATTCCTGTTTTTTTTCTCCAGGTAACCAGTGTAAGTTATCATCCAAAAGATAGCTGCATGATAACTTCATCTGTGGACGGGACAATCCGAGTTTGGAAAACTTGAAAGGGCAAATCCAAAACAAAAAAAAAAACAAAAGAACTGCCGATTCTTGGGCGTTAATGTGGTTCAAATGAAGGGAATCCCTTCCAAAGCACGGGAATTGAATGGTCGAAGCGTTACAGCCAACAATACCTGCAACTGGAGGCAGGTAAGAAGAGAAGAGGTTAATTGAAGAATGATAAAGAGCTCCACTGCATCTCTTATTTGAATTACTATAATAATTTATGCAATATTGTTCTTAGATACAGCTTTGGTGGTCAATTTGGTCAAGGGGAGTGGAGGCTTATTATATGTTTAATTTGAGATAGATGTAATGCATGTTAATTATTTTTATATTTATTTCAAACACAGAATTTTAAAGTTATTAAAACATTATAAAAAATTGAAAATAGATTTTAAGAAAAAATTATGAAAAGGAAAAAGAGATATAATATTTTAAAAAGGGAAAACACAAATAATAAACGAAAAATAAGAAATGAGCACGAATGCCCCCTATGGTTTGGAAATTATACGTCAATGTCCTCTCTTTGTTGGAAAATGGCCGGAAAATGATAAGAGGAGGTGTGGGTGCAACACTTTGAAACCACAGGGACTTTAGAAATAAGTTTTAAAAACAGAGAGGATGTTAGTGCCAATTTTTCCAAACCACAGGGGCACTGGAGCTATTTGGCCTTATTCTTTCGTGGTCTTAAAGTTCACATGTAATATATGAATTGTCTCACATATTTTATGGGCTAGCAAGTGATTTTTTTTGCAAAATGCCCAACCTTTTATGATATCAATGCATTAAGGTCTATATAATTAGTATAGACTTTAGGACCACGTAAGAGTTTCTCATGAAATGAATGGATATGAACGTGATTGTAATTATATAAGTTTGTTCATTTTTAATATTCTATTAAAAAACTAGATCAAGAGTTTTTGAGAGTATTTTAGTTTAATTGTTGAGATTATATACACACACATATACGTACATACATACATACATACATACATACATACATACATACATACATACATACATACATATATATATATATAGAGAGAGAGAGAGAGAGTTGAACTTTTTTTGAGACTTCGTTAGCCATGTCATCAAAATGAACTTTCTCAATATTTCAAACGGGTTGGGTAATGATTCATTTATTTGGGCAACTCTATTTGTGACATTCATTTGCAAGTCTCAACGGCTCAACCACAGAGATATCAACGAAGATGTGATTGGAACTTTCCTTCTATTGCACCTCCACGAGATGTCAGCAAAGATGAAAAAATAAAACTCACTAACAATTTGACAACACTAAAAAATACGGAGTACAAAAATACCGATTAAATTGATGTAAGAAATTGATGTCGATTAAATTGATCGCCTTTAAGCTATTTATGAATAAAAGTTTTAAAAATGGTTAATATATGTGCTTATACCACGAAGGTTAAAAGGCAAAAAAATTATATATGATCCCCATTGTAATGTGTATTGCATAGCACATGGCTTATTTATATTAAAAGGAAAATAAATGATAAAAAGCATTCATGCACACCTCAAATCTTAATATCTTTGAGGTTAACATTGTTTTTAAATATTTCTACACTATTGAAAAAATCCACTAGCCACTTGTCTTCACCAAAATATAAACGATTGTAAAACGATGTAAAAAAACAGCTGATATTTATTTGAAACAGAAAAATAAATCCTATCCAAACTTTGGTGGAAAATAAGGTTACATATTAAATTTTAAACAAAAGAGGAAAACTTTGGTGGAAAATAAAAATGTTGTATGATTTACTAATACATAGAATAATGTACTGTAGATATAGAATCATATGTAATTAAATGTTATAGAATCATATGGTGATGGATACCCTGGACAGGGGGTATCCGGTCTTTGTATAATATTAGTCGGGGCGGTCCAGTCTGTTGGATCGGTCCGTTAGTCGTTCATTAATTACTTATTTAAGGCGGCCCAGCCTGTTGGGCCGGCCCATTGGTCTTTGTATGTAAACCCTAGCCCTAACTCTCCCCTTATATATACCCCTCTTCTTGGAAGAGGAAAGGGGGGAAAGGGAGCTCATTCATCACACGTTCCAAATTACGTTCTAACTAGCACAATAATACTCTTAGTTTACTTGACCCCATATTTGTGCACTCTTGAATCAGTTTGATACTCTTCCGCCTAGCTTCCTAGGCCCCCGGGTTCTCTGAACCCAACATTGGTGCTCTCGTTGAGAGTGCAAACACATCAAGCGTGCTCCAAAAACAAAAAAAACGGAGTGATTCTTCCAAATCTTCGTGGTGGGATTCGGCCACTGGTCTTGGATTCCCCACCCATCGCCGACCAGATCTGTCGTTGGCACACGGAAGACCCCCGCCGGCTTGGATGGGCGCACCTCGCCGTAGATTTGCTGAGGAGGTACCGGATTGAGTTCGCCGGCCATCGCCACCGCTAGGAAGGTCCAGATCTTTGAGCCACCATCCATCGCCGGCCAGATCTTGATTCCGCGCACAGATCTTCGAACCACCACCAAGCGCCGGCTTCGAAGCACGACGGGAGAGCCTCGCCGTAGATCTGCTACATATTTGCCTCTTGCTTCTGGCCGGCAACGATCCACCGGCGTAGACCGTACGGACGCGACGACCAATGGGGTTCAACAACAGCAACTTCAGATTTGGTAACAACTCCAAATTTGATGGGGGTCAAGGGAGTCGCTGTCCCTGCGGTCGGCGATACCAGCTTCGCCGGCCAACAGTGCTCCGCCGACCAGCAGTGCTCCAATTGCGACCAGACCAGACAGAGATCTTTCCACTGGCGACGGATCCGCCGACCAGCAGTACTCCGATTGGTGCCAACGACCCAGTAGCCTGACTCCGAAACCAGTTCAGACTGGCAGTGACCCGCCTCCATCCTTCCAGTAATGCTTCTCGGTGTGCAGGCCTTTCGGTTGTCAATCCGACAAGCGCGCATGCCCCTTCAATGCGCGTGACTTTTTGATGGGCATGACTATTGCTTCTGTCAACCTCAAGTGTCTACCTTTACATCTACATGGTAGATCTCAATTATGGACGGCACATCAAAAAAAGAGATAAGTCTCTTTAGCCCTGACACCATCATTTCAACTATTCCATATTTATTACTTTTACCATATTATCAATATGATAATTGCTATCATTATTTGTGTTATTATTACTATTACCTTGTCCATCACACGTGATCGGACCTCACTTGGACGATGGTATTACACTTGGTGTTCAACACTTTAAGCCCTGATGTGGGATGGGTGTGAAGCTTAATCTAACACCGCACACAGGCCACCGACCTGCCTCATGGCATGGCTCAGATCCAACTCATTTGTTCGTTCCTTAGCGAGACCGGGTAAAACCTCTCTACAGGGTGTTGAAGATCGTCCGCGACGATATTATCGCAAGGCCGAGGTAAGCCGTCCACCGTGACGCACTCCAATCCGTCTTCCACGACGCGATCTCATTTCCTCTTCCACGAGGCCGAGGTAAGCCGTCCACCGCGACGCACTCCCATCCGTCTCCCACGACGCGATTTTGTTTCCTCTTCTACGAGGCTGAGGTAAGCCCTCCCCGCGAGGCACTCCAAATCGTCCACGACGATACTATTCGCGAGGCCGAGGTAAGCCGTGCATCTCGACACACTCCTATATATCCGTCTTCCACGACGTGAACTATTTGCTCTCGGATCTAAGCTAGGGTGGGCAAACGGGTCTAGGTACCGTGAGTCGGAACCGAACCGACAGGTTCGGTCCGGGTTAGGGGCGGGTCCTTTTTTTTAAAAATTATAACGGTCCAGGTCGGTCCGGTTCTTATACGTTTTAGGACCGGTCCGGTTCTCAATTTTAAAATTCTTCCGGACCCGGACCGGCCCGTTAGTTAATACTCCGTATTATTATTATCCGTATCACTCATTTACTTGGGCCAAAGCCCTACCCAATCTCCCAACTCCCAATCCTTTTGGTCTTTCCCAAAGCCAGAACTTCAGAACCCTTTGCAGCGCCTAATTTGTGAATCGGAGCACAGACAGAGAGACGGACGAGCACAGACGATGAGACGGAGCTTCCGAGCATAGACGATGAGATGAAGCTTCTGAAGCGCTGCGTCGACCGAGCACAGAGATCGCAGAGAAGCACTATGCGCTAATCCCCATGTTTGTTCAGCTGTCCGGACACCACTGCTCACCTTAAATCGCCTTCTCTGGTGAATTTTGTCCCGTGGTAGCTCTTCACATCTCATCTCTTAATTGAAATATTCACCTCTTCATTTTCAATTTTTAATTTTACACAACCAGCTGTATTTATCATCATCACCAATTTCACCACCACTTCTCTATTTTTGTGTTCCATCCTCTCTATTTTATTATGAGTTATAGTAAAAAATCAAATATGTAGTATAAATTAGGATTTGTGGACAAGCTTACAATCTGAAGAAAGATTCAACTGGTTTGAATCTCACCTGGGCAGATTCGTAATTTGATTTCAAGAATGTTTTGTTGGAATCAGTCACTCACTGTTCATAGATCCAAACAGTCTGTTCAACTATTCTTAATGTGTAAAGTTACATAAATGAATAAGAAAAAAACACCCAGTAGTTTTCTTTGGAGTATATGATCCTCTCTATTGTCTAATCTCTAAAATTATTATTTACTCCATTATAAAAGCTTTAATGGTAGTAGAAGTGTTTGGTAAAAGTAATGGTGTATTATAGACATTTATATATTTGTTTTTATTTTCAGGATTCTACTGGCAACTCTAATTCAAGTGAAAAACAGTCCTTGCATAGCACAATACCTAATTGCATGTGAAGGATGTAGGTTAGTATTAAACTTCTTTAACCATTTGTGCATGTTTGTGTGTGGAATATGTTTGATCTTAAAATTGTGTTTTTGCAGGATTTTGGGTTTTTTTGGAAGCCATCTGCCTACTGCCTGATTGTTCTTTTTGGAACCATATGGCATTTGCCAAAATGTGATTGTACTCTTTCCTTTTTTTGTTGGATGATCATGCCATCATGGGGGTTTGTTGTACTCAGTTCCTCTTTATATGGTGAATGACCATGTATGTATTACGGAGTATTAAATTATTTGCACTTCTTTATATTTGTAATATTAGTATCATGAAAGTTTCGGACCCGTTGACCCGTGGAATCGGCCCGTTTCGAACAAGCCGGGTTAGGTCCGGTTTCAATTTTAAAATTTTGAAAACCCGTTCCGGCCCGGACCATTTTAATAAAAACAAGCCGAGTCCGGTTTATAGAAATCTTGGCCCTGACTGGACCGTGCCCACCCCTAGATCTAAGGCGAGGGGTGCATCCTCTGTGCCTATCTCACTTACCCGAGTAGCTCTCATTTGAAGACCCCGGTCTCACTAAGGATGACATCAAGGTTTGTTCTAGACCAGACTACCACACGATCGGTGCACTTTGCTGGTTAGGCCTATCTTTTGTCCAAAACTTTGGACTCAACTCATACGTTGACTTACTTTTCTCGGCCGCGTGGTGACTGGTCTACCCGAGCCCGCGAGCGCCTTGTATTCTTTTTTGAACTTATTTTGCAGGTTAGAAGGATGAGAAGGCCAGGCTCGGCCTCAGCCACCGCGTGAGCCGCTCAAGCTCGACCCCAGGCACTCAAGCTCGAGCATCAGCCGTTCAAGCTCGGCCCCAGGCACTCAAGCTTGGCCCTTGCCATTCAAGCTCGGCCTCAACCACTTGGTCTCGGCCTTAGCCACTCAAGCTCGACCTCAACCACTTGAGCTCTGTTTTAGCCACTCAAGCTCGGCCCCGGACGCTCAAGCTCGGCCTCAGCCACTCAAGCTCAGCCCGGACACTCAAGCTCGGCCTCATCCACTCAGGCTCGGCCTCATCCACTCAAGCTCGGCCTCGGCCTTGCCCATCTCGTGGAGGGGCCAGAGACTCCCATCAGAGCCGAGCATGGACACTACTCCCCTTCACCTCGGAATTCTTCTTCGGCTTAGGGAGTGGGGGACTCTGGGTGCTCGGCTCGTGATTGTTACATCTCACATCAGGAGAGGTTGGCGATTGACATCTCGACCTTGTATCAGACCGCAGCAGTCCGTGTCGGCACGCACTCGCCGACAATCCATTATGTCGAACCGCCCTCGACTCTGGACAACGAGTCTAGGCCCTGGGAGACTTGACGATCACCTCTTTTGATATTCACACAAAAGACCTCACACCCTAGCAATGTTTTCTAGATCCACTCTGTGGGATGAGATGTACTCTTTTCTTGATCGAGGATTTTTTCCCATCCTCATGGGTTTTTCTTCGGCAAGTTTTTAATGAGGCATCCCCTGTGGAGTGGGTCACACATTGACGGGATTGTGGGAGGATGTTTGAAGACGTCAAACGGACTGTAGATGATGACTTATTCATCCACTCTTTTGGTGATTGTTGCACTTTGAATAGCGAACCGACGATGTAATTTGTACGAGAGCAAACCATTTCAAGACAATGAGCAGATTATGTGTTTCTTCTTGTCTTTCCATTTTGAACAGCGAGTTGGCATTACGTTTCTGACATGTGGCGTTGTTTGCCTTACTTCACCGTGCTCGGGACAGCGAGTTGGCGGTGCACTCCAGACAGCAAGGAAGACGGTGTCCTTCCGTGGTGGATTTTTGTTCTACTTCCACTTCACCTCGAGTTCCTCTCGGCTCGGAAAGTAGGGGACGCATGATGGATACCCTGGACAGGGGGTATCCGGTCTTTGTATAATATTAGTCGGGGCGGTCCAGTTTGTTGGATCGGCCCGTTAGTCGTTCATTAATTACTTATTTAGGCCCAGCCTGTTGGGGCGGCCCATTGGTCTTTGTATGTAAACCCTAGCCCTAACTCTCCCCTTATATATACCCCTCTTCTTGGAAGAGGAAAGGGGGAGAGGAGCTCATTCATCACACGTTCCGAATTACGTTCTAACTAGCACAATAATACTCCCAGTTTACTTGACCCCATATTTGTGCACTCTCGACTCAGTTCGATACTCTTCTGTCTAGCTTCCTAGGCCCCCGGGTTCCCTGAACCCAACATATGGAATTAAATATTATAGAGTCGTATACAGTAAATGTTATATTTTTTTCTATGTATTTTTTTGATTAATCATATATTATTTATGAGTACAACATGTAATTTTTAACCAAGAATATAATAATTAGTATATAAGCCAATTTATTGATTCAGCCTCCAGGATGCATTAATAACAACTAATATTATATCATAAATAAATAAATTAGGAACCAAAATTAAAACTAATTTATTACACATAAATGTTATTGTACCAACTTTTACCATTTTAGATAGTTATTATTGAAAGATAATGATTTTTGTGACACAAATGTGACAATTTTTTTGAAAGCTATTATTGGAAAGTAATAATTTTAAAATGGAAAATATTAATTTTAGAATGAAACAAAATTTTTATTAGAATTAGAATGTTTTTTACTATATACAAAAAATATTTAACGTTCTATTAAATAAGTATGGCATTAAAAGTTCCTTTCTTTTTATATAATGTTTTTATTTTTATGAAATTGGTAACAAATGATTTAAATATTATTTTGTATAAAGATTAATAACAATAATCTTATAATTAGTATTACTACTATTATTCATATTGTTGTTATTATTTTTATTTTAATTGTTATTATTATTATTATAATTATTATAAACATCGTTTAGGGACGAACTTTTAATCGTCATTTTGGAAATAAAAGCATGGAGCTTCTATGTTAGTACTTTCTCTAAAGTAGGAGTCAAACAATGAAAATATAATAAAATAGAAGTTTCATGATTTTATTACCGAAATATGAGTTAAAATACATTTACATTACCAATCATGACCATGTACATTACAACGGATGTCTATGTAGAGTGTCATATTATCACAGTACGGACTCATATTTAGGGAATAAAAATATGGATCCAAACTCATATCATATTTTGATACTTTCTCTATGTTTTATTTTTTTAAACATTAAAGTGAATCCACACAAAAAGATAAATGGGCCGCACAAGGAAAAATGGAATACAGAGGAAGTTAATAACTCCATGTACAATGAAAAAGAGACGAAAAAAGGAGGGACTTATGAAGAAATTAAAAAATATTTAATAAAATGCTTTATATGAAGTAAAAGAAAAAAGAATAGAAAAAGGTAATAAAAAAGAAAAAGATTAAAAACTATTTTTGTTTCAAGTAAAATAAAATATACACAATAAAAAAATATGCATTCACAAAAGACTTTGTAAATGTCAAGCCCATTTTTATTTTAACATTTTTATTATAAAGTTAAAGATCAAATATTGGAGATTAGAATTTAGTAAGAAAAATATAGGTACTAGTGTTGTTCCAAACATGACGCTTTTTATTCTTCTTCTCATTTGTGGGGCAGGACACTCTACTTCAGCAAAAATGATGGGAAGGATGGTGAAGTGACGCGGAAAGGAAAAGGAGGGTAAAATCGGGAGAGAAAGAAACAATGTGACAGGAGAGGTTCTAGTTGGGGAAAAAACTTGAACTCTTATTTTAGGAATTAGCAGAATGTTTTAGTCTTATTAGTGGTGATTTCTTTTAAATCACGGTCAAACTGAATGGAACGTAACCGTAACAAATCTATGTGTTTGTGTCCAACAAAATGTTCAAATAACTTGTCTTGCTATTGGGAATTCTACTTTCTCATTTGACTCTAATTTCATATCTCAATATGAGGATGATATATGCACACTCATTAGGGTGCCTCTCTTCAACCTCACTCATCTACTCCCTCCGTCCCATAAAGTGTTACCCATTTTGACTAACGTTGAAATTAAGGGAGTGATAATTTTGTGTTGACTTTCCAAAAATACCCTTGATGTGATGGGTAAAAGTAGGATGTGATGTGATAGGTAGGGTTTGAAAAAGTAAGGGGTAAAAGTGGTTTTTTAATAGGAATGGGTAAGGGATTGTGGGACGCAATTTTTTTGAGACGTGTAAATCTTTTTGGGACGGAGAGAGTATTAGGTAGAGATCAATTTTAAGCCATTTGATAGCAGGGAGGCTTGCTCAAATAAATCATTAATTAATTAATTAGATATGAAAGAAGACACTTCCATTCCATAGTTTTGAATCAAAAATTATCTTCATGTATTTTTGAATCATAAATTAAATAATTTACTTATAAAAGAACATCAAGTATCAATTTTAAAATAGTCGCAAACACTTAAAACGGTACACATTTATTCATAATTTTGTATTCTCACTTAGATACACTATACTATATTATGTTTCGGACAATCGGAAAAACCGTAACATTTAGTGTTAAACATATAATCACAATACAATACACAATATCCTTCGATATTTTGAGTTAAATTATAGAATCGCCCGATGTTTTTTGCATAGCACTTTGGATAACACTCACAGAATGATGGAGTGCATTGATTGGGAGGTGATGATCCACGCAACAACTCAAATTGCATGGTGAGAAAAATCAACATTATTACAACCACAATACTTTGTAAATGAGTAAACTTGCATCTTGGCCTGTGTTCACAATGAAAAAAACATTATAGGATTGTTGTAGAATTATTTTTACTTTCTCAATACATTGGTACTCCAATTGAATCAAGACGTTACAATCTTACACCAATAAATTTGTATAAGATTACCATTCCTCGAACATAAACTTATACACTATGCCAATGTTGTTAAAAAGTTCTCATCAAATTTTTCCTTATAATATTTGCATTAGAAACATCATTTGACATAAAATGTTGCAGTTCTATAACTTATGGAGTTTTAAATTAAATTATTATTTATTTCATAAACTAATTACATACATAGTGCATTTCACAACATTAAACAGAAACTAATTGCTTCATAAATAGTTCCTAACCTCAACTTGGAGCTTGATGACATGGTATAAGATATAGGATTATAAAGTGCACAAAAATGATTTCTTATTTTCAGTATATAATTCTTATTATGTATAAAAGAACTTTTATAGGTATAGAATGCATAACGCATGATCAATGTTCAATAACTAGAATTTAATAATCTTGAATAACATAAGGATTAAATATTGCATACATGCATTTTTCTTACATTTCTTTTTTATAAAAGTAAAAATTTCTCAATATAAGATTAAAACATGAAATATTTGCACTAAATAGCACTAAAACTTAAATCATTTTCCCTAAATAGCACTTAAATTATTTTATTTCGTAAATAGCACTTAATAATGTCCATAATGTCCTGTGATGGCAAATATTTGTTTGAATAATGACTAATGCATAATGACTAAAAGTGCTACATTGAGAAGAAAAACACATGTGATGCTATTTGGAGAAATTATTATACATAATGACATATCACTTCTCTCTACATAGGAGTTACTATTTTTTCTGTATGTAGGAGTAATTTTAATAAAGGCTCCCGAATTTACCCCTTCGCTAATTTTTCTACGTCTTCAATGCATATTAAATGTTATTTAGTATTCTTAGCTTTACATATTTAGAAGATTATTATACATGAGGAATGCTAGTCCCATAAAAAAGTTACAAATATCACAAACTTACCTTTTTGTATTAGACTAGTATTTTGACCCGTGTGATGCATGAAGTCTAATGAATTTTTTGACAATTTTAAATTTTTTTCAATGCAACACACACAAATATATATATATATATATATGTATGTATGTATGTATGTATATATCTGTATATATATATATATATGTATATGTATATATATGTCTATATATATATATATATATATATATATATATATACTTTGATCCGAAATGAAATATAAAATATTATTTTTTTAATTAATATGTCATGTAAATTTTATTTAATTAGATATATTTAATGTGCTCATAGTTGGATTTAGTTTTTTACAAGGTGCAATACAAAACAATTCTATTACCAAGGTTCATAAAGAAGTATGCACCTAAGGATCACACAAAAATTTGTAAACATTTAACTACGTAATTTCACTTTTAAAAATATTTGAGTGAATTCTTAAAAATGAAATATCTTTAGATAGGAGAAAAAAATTATGAAAATGCCAAAATAATACGGAGTAAGTTTTTTAAGACCAAAATACAAGTATAATGGCAGTGTGGTGCAAGAGGTCACTTTGGCAGTGTGATGGAGAAGTGATGACGGTGTAATACACAAGAAACAATACAATCAATTCACTTTGGAGGCCAAAAGCGAGGAAGATGCTCTAGTAACTAATAATATTGAAGGTGAATGTTTGACTTATTCTATTTGTGGAATCTCTCCCATTGTAAGAGTTGGCCTTTTAGACTTTCATTTTTTTCGTTTTCTTGGTCCTCTTGTTGGGGTTTGGACCTCCCCACAAAGCCCACACTCTTTGTACTTCTGTGTTAAATAAGAAAATTTTCTTAAAAAAATATGTGTTGGTTTTATTTTTTGTGATGTGATGAATGACTTTAAATCCATGATTTTGTTTAGGACGTATATTTGTCATATGTTGAAACCAATTGGGAAGACAAATATTTTACAAGTAGAAAATTGTCTATTAAATATTTTTTTATTTAAAAAATAATAATTGTACGTATGGGCTTAGCCCTCGCTAGTTTCCTTTTTTAAAAGTAGTAGTGATGGTTAATCCCTCAAACTTTTGCGAGAGTCTGGCCGACATGAATTATTGACGGTATGACAAATGAAAATTATTGAGGGCTTCGCCGACGCAAACTATCGAGGAATTGGCCAACACAAAGATTTGCATCGAGCAGATTAGCCGCGCCAATCGCGCCGACGCAAGTCTGACGCAAAACTTGAGTTTGCATCGGCTTTTACGCTTTTGGGAGGGCTTTTGACTCACACAAAATCAACATATTCTAGTAGTGATATATATATCAGTGCAATCTATCAATCGTTGGTGATCCAGGTGATACTCTGATGGTTGGTGTCAACTGATGAAATTGTGGCGGTAATAGTGTGACAGTTACAATATGACAATGTAGTGATGAGTATATGACAATGTAACAATGAAATGTGAACTCCTATTTTGATCTAAAAACTTATTATGACTTCCATTTTATTATTTCATAGTTTTTTACTTCTATCTAGAGATTTCTCACTTCTTAAAATAGTCCTTAATAAAGGTGTTTTTCCAAATTAGTTTTTAATAAGCAACAATTATTTTGATATTTTCTATCATCTAGACTTATTATTATCAAAATACTCTTATTAAAATAGTTTTTCTTAAAATTGATAAATTCTATGTAGATATTTTTCCGAAATAGAGTCCATGAATACGAAAATTGAGCAATTAAAAACTCGGGAGTAACTCTCAAGAAGATTGGTCATGTGATGATGTTAAGCATATACGTTACAGAGCAACCCAAATTCATATGGAGTAATAATTTGTCAACCCAAGTCATAATAAATTGGTCCATGACAAAATACACTTACAAAACAGACTGTAAAACAGCAAATCTGTAAAACAGCAAATCTGCTGTAGTGCTGTTTCCAAGAGAAGAAAGAATTCCTTTCGTAATGTTGTGTCCTTCTTCATGAGTTCTCCCATCAATATATAGGAAGAGAACAATACAAGACCAACTAGGAAAAGGAATGTACTACAACTAGTATTCTAAATAATTAAAGGAAAGAAATCCCTTTGGGAGTAGGACTCCCCTTCTAGCCGTGCGCCAGACCCTTGCAACCCACGTAACACCCCCCTCAAGCTGGAGCATGGGGATTCCGCGTGCCCAGCTTGGACAAAAGATGATTGAACGATGCGGACCCGAGAGGTTTTGTAAAGAGGTCAGCTGGTTGTTCAGTCGAGGAAATGTGTGCCGTACGTAGAACTCCTCGCTGAATCTCATCTCGAACAAAATGACAATCAATTTCGATGTGTTTAGTGCGTTCATGAAACACGGGATTAGCCGCGATATGTAAGGCCGCCTGGTTGTCGCAATGGAGCATCATTGGCTGTGGATGTCGAACACCAAGGGAAAGCAGTAAAGTCCGTAGCCATTTCAACTCGCAGACCGCTGTTGCCATAGCCCGATATTCTGCCTCTGCGGAAGAGCGAGACACAGTTTTCTGTTTCTTCGTCCGCCAGGAAATGGGAGAACCACCCAAACAAATAAAGTAACCTGAGACAGAACGGCGAGTAAGAGGGCAACTCGCCCAATCAGAGTCACAAAAGCCCGTGAGCTGAAGAGGCCCCGAGGCCGAGAGAAAAAGACCTTGCCCTGGCCGAGCCTTAATGTATCGGAGAGTGTGGACGACAGCCTCCCAATGATCACGGCGTGGGTGAGCCATGAATTGGGATAAGATATGAACCGCATAAGCCAAATCCGGCCGCGTGATAGTGAGGTAAATGAGACGGCCAACCAAGCGGCGATATTGGGAAGGATCTGAGAGAAGAGGACCGGCTGCCAGTGCAAGACGATGGTTCGCCGGTAGGGGGGTGGCAGCGGGTCGGCAGCCCAAGTAACCTGTTTCAGAGAGTATGTCAAGTGCATATTTTCGTTGAGATATGAACAACCCAGAGGAGTTGCGTGCAACTTCTACGCCTAGAAAGTACTTCAGCAGACCAAGATCTTTCATATGAAAACATTCGGACAAGTAGTGCTTAAAGCGGGAAATAAAAGCCTCGTCGTTACCCGCGAGCACCAAATCATCGACATATATAAGAACCCGTAATTCAACAGGTCCACGCACAAGTGTAAACAAAGAGTAATCTGCCTTGGATTGTGTGAAGCCGTATGCACGAAGAGCATTTGTAAGTTTAGAAAACCAACATCGCGGTGCTTGGCGAAGACCATAAAGCGATTTGTGCAAACAGCAGACCAACCCCTTTGTGCGAGAGGCAAAGCCGGGAGGGAGTTGCATATACACCTCATCCTTGAGATCCCCATGGAGAAAAGCGTTGTGAACATCCATCTGGTGAAGGCTCCAGTTCCGTACCGCCGCCACCGCCATCAAAGTGCGAACGGAGACAAGTTTAGCAGTGGGAGCAAAAGTCTCTTTATAGTCAATGCCCTCCTTTTGACGATTTCCAAGAATCACAAGACGAGCTTTGTATCGCTCAATGCTTCCATCAGACTTGTGTTTTATTTTATACACCCACTTCGAGCCAATTGCCTTTTTATGTGGAGGGAGTGGAACCAATGACCAGGTGCCGTTTGCATCAAGGGCATCCAATTCCTTTTGCATTGCCTCACGCCAGTGGGGATGTTTAACTGCCTCTTTGAAACTGGTGGGCTCCTCATCTGCAGTAATGGCTGCCAAAAAACTTCTATGTCGAGAAGAAAAGTTAGCACAGTTAACAAATTTAGTAATGCAGTGAGCAGTACCTGAAGTGGGGAGTGGAGCGGATGCACAGGCCGGCGTACTACGAACAGTGTGCATGACAAAGTCGCGAAGATGAGACAGGGGACGATGCTCGCGGTGACTCCGTCGCTCGGGTTCCCTCACCGGAGGAATGTCAGAGACCGGTGAGGATGTGTTTTCAGGAGATGATTCGGATGAGGAAGAGGACGGGTTGGCAGGGGCTTCGGTTGGGGATGACGGACGTGTAGTGTCCTCAGTTTCGGGTAGTTCGGCTGGGAGGATATCAGGGGGTTGAAGAATGGGTGGTGTGGCTGGGATGGGGTGGACGTCCGAGTCGTCATCAACGTACTCGTCCATCGAAGGGTAGGGTTTTCGTGGCTGCGATGGAGGGGGATTATCCAACGGTGGAGAGACAAAGGGGAATGAGTTCTCAACAAATTTAACATCCCGACTCACAAATACTTTGTTTGTTTCCAGGTCCTGTAAACGCCATCCTTTTTGACCAAATGGATATCCCAGGAAAAGACAGCGACGCGAGCGGCTTGCAAATTTATCCCCATGGGTTATTTGACTATGTGCATAAGCAAGACAACCAAAAGTGCGCAAGTGAGTGTAGATTGGTTCTTGACCAAAGAGAAGAGTGTAGGGAGTTTTTCCATTTAACAACGGAGTGAGAGTTCGATTAATGAGATAGGCGGCAGTAAGAATACAATCACCCCAATAACAAAGGGGAAGGTTAGCTTGGAAACGGAGGGCACGTGCAATATTGAGAATATGTCTGTGCTTGCGTTCGACCCTCCCATTCTGTTGTGGAGTGCCAACGCATGAAGATTCAAATATTATCCCCTGAGAGGCAAAATAAGGTTTCATGCACGTGAACTCCGTCCCGTTATCACTGCGGATTACTTTTACTTGAGTGTCAAACTGACGCTGAACAAAAGAGAAAAAATTGCATAGAACACTAGGGGTTTCATCTTTGTGAGTCAGGAGATACACCCAGGTTGCCCGAGAAAAATCATCGACTATGGTCAGAAAATATTTAGCTCCAGTACGCGAAAGAGTACGGTACCCACCCCACAAATCACAATGTATTCTACCAAAAGGAATATTTGATTTATTTAAACTGACAGGGAAAGGGTCACGACATTGTTTGGCCCGAAAGCATACATCACAGGGTAAAGAAACATCTTGTGGAGAAGAACAAAAAGGAAGAAAACGACAAATCTCAGGTGAGGGATGACCAAGACGCTGGTGCCACACTGCATAATCCTTCGTTGCTCGTACAACACAGGCTTTGTCATGCACTTCCTGATCAAGGTAGTAGAGTCCGTCAGCTTGCTTACCCGTTCCAATCACCTTCTTCAAGGTAGAGTCCTGTATTACAAAAAATTTGTTAGTAAACTGGATTAACATTCCTTCTTTTCCAAGAAGTTGAGAAACAGAAATTAAACTGCAATTGAGTTCAGGAACTAGCAAAACATTGCTCAGTTTCAACGAATTGCCAAGGACAACTTCGCCCACGAGTGCGGCTCCCGCACTTTTCCCGTTGGGAAGCCCCACTCTGCACTCCTTTATAGGCCGAATGTTCTCCAGTTTGCGTTTGTCTCAGGTCATATGCTGGCTTGCACCACTGTCAATAATCCAAGACCGATTCATCGTACCTGAAAACTGGTTCTCACATTGGACGTTGGCCTGCCCCGCAAACTGGTCCTTCGGCTGTCCTGTCCTGTTCTGCCCGCGGTTCTCAGCACCCCGACCGGCGACAGTACCCCCCCTACCACCGCGCCTGCCAGTTGCTGCACCACCACGTCCGCCTCCTCCTCGTCCGCCACTCATACGGGGTCTGTCCGCCCACCATTCCGGATATCCGATAATTTGGAAACATCCGCTTATCTCGTGTCCCGATTGCCCACAATGTTTGCACTTCAAATTATTGTCTCGACTTGATTTTCCCATAGCCACAGCGAAACCCATTGGGTTTCGTTCCTCCTCCGTGGTCATCTTCAACACGCCTTCTTGTTGAGTTATCACCGAGTAAACCCAGTTGATAGAAGGAAGCGGTTCGGTGCTGAGTATGTTCGAACGAAGACTTCCATAACCTTCGTTATCCAGGCCCATCAAAAACTGATGAACCTTCTCCTCGTCACGTTGTTTTTCTAAAAGTGCAGTCAATCCACACTTGCAACCTCCACACTTGCACGTTGGTACCTTCAGCATGTCGTAGAGTTCATCCCAGATTGTCTTTAACTTGCCGTAGTGTTTGACAATCTCTTGTCCATTCTGTTTTGTGTTCGCCAATTCCTTTTTAAGTTGGTGAATCCCTGGGCCGTTTGCCACGGAAAACCTTGCCTTTATATCGTTCCACAAGTCAGCCGCAACCTCAACCTGGGTGATGGAGTTCCGTAAGTCTGCTTCTATTGTATTGTAAATCCATGAGACGAGCATAGCGTTGACGATCCACCACTCTTCAACCTCATCGGAATCATCGTCGGGACATGATATAGTTCCGTCAATAAACCCGAATTTCCTCTTGGCGCGGAGGGCTATTCTCATGGCCCTCGCCCATTCTTCGTAGTTTCTTCCGGTTAATTTTACCTGAGTAATCAATAAACCTGGTGTATCCACAGATTTCAAATCATACGGACTAGGTTTCTTCATCTCGTCGCCGTTGTCCGTAATTTTGGACGGAGTCTCATCTTTCGGTTTTGGTGCTTCCGTCATGATGTTGATCGGTGCTCTGATACCATGTAAAACAGCAAATCTGCTGTAGTGCTGTTTCCAATAGAAGAAAGAATTCCTTTCGTAATGTTGTGTCCTTCTTCATGAGTTCTCCCATAAATATATAGGAAGAGAACAATACAAGACCAACTAGGAAAAGGAATGTACTACAACTAGTATTCTAAATAATTAAAGGAAAGAAATCCCTTTGGGAGTAGGACTCCCCTTCCAGCCGTGCGCCAGACCCTTGCAACCCACGTAACACAGACAAAGCAAAACAGACACCACAAAGATTACAGAAAGTTTCATACTTCATCCGTCCCAGTGTTTTATCGTATTGAGAACTTTTAAAATTGTATTTCATTATGCTAATATGCATTATAAATTGAGAGTAATTGGAGTTCAAAGTTTATCCAGTTTGATTCGAAAAAGTCAAACTGGAAAAATACATTGGGACGGAGGTAGTAATTCATACCAAATTCAGTTTAATATAGTTCTATTCAAGTGTCTTATGATTTAATATAGTGACTCTACTATATTCTAAATTCTATCGTAGTATCAAAATAATTTTTGATCAAGTGACTCTATTAACAAGTGCTTAAATAGTTTGCTCAAACATGAACACAATATCATCCAAACTGGACTTCATTTCATATGATAACTGTGGAACACAGGCAAAACCAAAAATACCATAAGATTATTTAGTGTTCAAAACTAACTGGAAGGGATTAATTAATAAATTAATAAATAATAATTAATTAATGGAGCAAGCCTCCATGCTATCAAACGTTTGAAAATCAATCTCTTGCCAAGCATATTTGAAGCTAATAGGGGAGTTAGGTTGAAGAGGGGCACCCCCAATAAGTGTGCATATATCATTCCCAGATTGAGCTATGATACTAGAGTCCAATGAGAGCGTGGAATTCCCAATAGCAGGACAAGTTATTTGAACATTTTGTTGGACGCAAACGCAAACATTTGTTATGGTCACGTTCCATTCAGTTTGACCGTGAATTTGGAATCCTGTCATCTCTTGAGAAATTGAGAGAAAAGGGTTGCACTCTCGACCACTCGCACCTAGATGAATCGAAAGGGAAATGTAATTAGATGCATATTTGTTACTAAAATAGGAAATAAAATAAAAATAAAGTAATTTCCTTAAAGACATCTAAAAATGAAATTGTAAAATATTTTTTGTGACAAAGAGTTATAATTTCTCCTTTAATCCCGATAAAAATAATCTATTTCGGTTTATAATATTTGACTAAAATGATTTACAATTCCATTTATTTGAGAATTGAAGCAGAATTTAATAATAACATTTCGATATTAAAAGACTAATTTAAAAACTATATGAAACAAGAAATGACATGACTATATATTAATCTATCAAATGATTAATGAAAATAGAGAAAAATGAATAAAGTTAGACACAGTAATGTATTTGAGATTGAGAGCAATTAATTAATTTATTAAGAGGATGGATAATTTTACACATTTTATTGGTGTAAATTTGTTACACTAATTCATGAATCTCACTAGCCTGCCCTGTCCCCAACACACCCTCGTTAATTCATTACACCAAATTTTGTTGACTTTTAGGTTAATTTTTTTTACCAAACTTTAGTGTAATGGAATTGGCAGGTATACGCTAGGCACGGGGCTGACTAGGGGGGTTTACTGGGGGTTAGGTGGGAAGAATAATCAACTTTGTGATTGAAACACCATAGGTGCTCAATTGAATTCCTATAGAGAAATGCTAAAGTCACAAATTTTTTGATCACAAAATACACAACCTTGCTATTTGTGTACCTCACTAAGTGAATTAAATAATGTTAAATAATTAAAAAGTAAGCATTTAAATACACAAATGGCAAGGTTGTGTATTTTGTGATCAAGGTGTTTGTGACTCTAGCACCTCTCATTGCTATAACAATCTCACACTATGAAATTGGTGTAAGATTACCCCCATTTTCAATACCATTTATTTTAGAATCAAAGAAAAATTTAATAATAATATTTACATATTAAAAATTAAAAAACTAACTTAATAATTGTAAAAAAACAAGAAATAACATGACTATTTTTATTATTTTATCAAATTAATAATAAAAAAAGGAAAAATTGATAAAATTTGACTCAACAAAAATAAACAAATAACTTAATTTGGGGAAGAAAGAGTAATTAATTTGACTCCATAAATTAGAAGCCATACACATACCATGAGAGGGGACTACAAGAAAAAGAAGCAATGAAAGGATACAGACGAAGGCGTTTTCCATTTGGTGTTGATATGCAATTGAGACACTTTTATGAGTTACAAGTAAATTGAGACTTGAGAGGGATTTACATATACTTGTCAAACTCTCAATGTATAGGCTTTTTTGTCCTCAACCTTAATTAATTATCGAAACTTTTAAGGTAACAACATAAAACTAGACATTAACTCAAAAGATATTATACTTAATACGGAGTAAGTTAATAGAGTAAGTCAATTTTATGGGTATAGTTATAAATGAAGATTATTCTTTCGGCTAAATAGCACTAGTACCCCTCATGGTTTGCAAAATATGCACAAATATCCTCTTTGCTTTCAAAACTTATTTCTAAAGTCCTTGTGGTTTTAAAATGTTCCACCCAAGCCCCCTCTGATAATTTTTCTACCATTTTTCCGGCGAAGAAGGGGGGCATTGGTGTATATTTTCTAAACCATAGGGGGTATCAGCATTGATTTTTATTTCTCGCTTATCTTTTTTTCCCATTTTTTTCCTTAAATTGTTTCATATATTAATAAAGTTTTTTTAAAATTATTTTTATAATGTTCTTGAAATTTAGAGTTATTTTTATTTGAAAAAATTAAAATGTAATGCATATGTATGTCTCAAATTAACAATTTTTGTTTTTTCTGAAAAAAAAGTAAAAGTTTTTAAGAACTTCAAAAGAATGAGGAATAAAATAAGAAACAAAATAATACAAAATTAAAAATGAATATTCTTTTTGGACATCTCAATTCTAAGGGCTTTTTACGTGTGTCCAATTTTTTTGTATAAGACTTTTTTTTGAGTATTTTATTTTTTTCATTTCGTTTTTCAATATTTTAAATTTTTTATATTGGATTTTCTTTTTGATCTTTCCAGAAAAATATTCTAAGTAACAAAAAGTGAAAATGTTTAATTTGAGATAGATGTAATATATGTTAGTTTTTTTTAATTTCAAACACAAAAATATTTAAAGTTTTTAAAATATTATATAAAATTGAAAATAAATTTTTAAAAAATTTATAGGAAAAGGAAAAAGAGATAGAAAATATTTAAAAAGGGGAAAATACAAATAATAAATGAAAAATAAGAAATGAGCACGAATGCCCCCTATGATTTACAAATTATGTGACAATGCCCCCTCTTCGTCAGAAAAATCGCCGGAAAATGATTAGAGGGGGTGTGGGTGCATCGTTTTGAAACCACGGGGACTTTAAAATAAATTTTGGAAACAGAGGGGTATTTGTGCTATTTTTCCAAACCACAGGGGTCTTATTCTTTCGTGGTCTTATAGTTCACATGTAATATATGGATTGTCTCACATATTTTATGGGCTAGCAGGTGATTTTTTTGGCAAAATGCCTAATCTTTTATGATACCAATGCATTAAGGTCTATAAAATTAGTATGGACTTTAGGATCACGTAAGAGTTTCTCAAAAAATGAATGGATATGAACGTGATTGTAATTGTATAAGTTCGTTCATTTTTAATATTCTTTTAGTTTAATTGTTGTTGATGGTGTAAATTATTGACCGGTATATCGTTTTTAGCCAAGCAAAAAAAATAAACTAGTCTAAAAAATACACCAAAATATAAACACGGGAATTTTAACGTAGAAACCTAAATCGGGAGAAACCCACGGGCCTTTTTTGGCGGTATCTTGCCAACGAGAGATTTTTATTGATATCGGGGGTGTGTACACGGTACATGATTTAGGCTAGAAAGCCATTAATGGAGCTTTTGAGCTCTTGAAGAAGGAGAAAAAATATACACACTAATGCTTTCTAGAGAGAGAGAGAGAGAGAGAGAGAGAGAGAGAGAAATTTGAGCAGTGAAGGAGTGAAGAATGTAAATTGGCCTCCCCTTAACCATTAGGGAAACCCTCCTTTTATAGGGAAGGAGGAAAGAATATTCAGAGAATATTCTCTTATTATTCCATTTTATTAAACAAGTTCGGTTTGACTGTTCTTCGTAAATAATTGGGAAATGTGGGCCGAGCCACGTATACAAAGATGTTATTTACCATATACAAAGAATTTGTAGAAATTTCCTCTGGGGAGGCAATATTGATCAAAGGAAAATCCCTCCTATCAACTGGGATGATGTTTGTACACCTATGAAGAACCGGATTTTTGGTGACACAGATAGTTGATTCATTGTCACAGTATAACTTCGACTTGGATGGAGGAATACCCAGTGCATCAGTGATATATCGAAGCCACATAGCTTCTGCAACCCCCGCAGCCATAGCTCGATATTCAGCTTCAGTGGATGATCTAGAAACACGAGTCTGCTTTTTCATGCACCAAGAGATGAGATTAGGACCGAGTAGGAGGATGTAGCCCGTGGTAGACTTGCAATCATCTTTATCATTTGCCCAGTCAGAGTCAGAATAGACAGATAGGTCGAATCCCCTCTTGCGAAAAAGAAGACCACGATGCAAAGTGCCTTTGAGATAGCGCAGAACACGTTGTAAGGCATGATAGTCCTACTCAGTGGGGTTGTGCATAGTCTGAGACACTCGATTAACAGCATACTGAATGTCTGGACGGGTGACAGCCAGGTAATGTGAACCGCCAACAATGCTCCGAAAATGAGATATATCCTTGAAAGGAAACGAAGGCTTAGTGATAGGTCGCGTAGCCATAGGAGTAATAGCCAGATGACAGTCAGACATCCCTGCTCGGCGTAGAAGATCACGGGCATATTTGGACTGATGGAGAAGCATAGAATCGTGCGTGCGCTGAACCTCAATGCCAAGGAAGTAATGAAGAGGTCCAAGTTCTTTGAGCTTGAAGTCACGATGCATAGCCTGAGTGACTTCTGAGATGAGAATAGAAGAGCTGCCAGTGAGAACAATATCATCAACATAGTCAAGGACAATAATAGTTCCACGAGAGCAGTGTCTGGTGAACAAGCTGGTATCATGAATGCAGCACTGGAATCCAAGGCCCTGCAAAAAAGAGGAGAGGCGTGTGTACCAAGCACGGGGTGCCTGTTTGAGACCATATAGTGACTTACGGAGCTTGCAAACATGGTGGGGATGATTGGGATTTATGTACCCCGGAGGCTGCTCCATATAAATTTCCTTGTCCACCGTACCGTGAAGAAAGGCATTGCTAACATCAGTTGATGAAGAGGCCAATCACGGTTGAGTGCTAAAGAGAGGACCAGGCGCACAGTTTGTTGTTTGACCACAGGACTGAATGTCTCCTTGTAATCAATGTCATACTCCTGATGATAACCTTTGGCAACAAGACAAGCCTTATACCTTGAAACAGATCCATCAGCATTCCATTTAATGCGATACACCCATTTGCAACCAATCGGAGAGCGGTTCTTGGGTGGTGGGACCAAGTCCCATGTACGATGCTCATTCAAAGCAATAAACTCCTCATTCATAGCCTGACACCAAAAACTATTACCAGAGGCTTGGCGGTAAGTGCTAGGCTCAGTGGAAGGTGGGGTATTATCAAGGGTGGTAATGGTATAGGCCTTAGGTTTGAAAATTCCAGATTTTGCTCGGGTTTGCATGGTGTGTGTGTTTTGGGGTGGGGGTCGGTTAGCCGTCTAAAGGGAATCAGAGGGAGGAGTAGGTGACGGTCGAGTGTGGGTAGGGTACGGTTCTGGGGTTGGACCGTTTGTGGCGGGTCTAGAGGAAGGGTGTCGGGCGGTCGTCCGTGACTGGTGGGATGGGTCTGGGTTTGGACCGTCGGTGGGACAAGAGCATGTGAGCCTGGGTTTGGCGGAAAAATAGGGGTTATATGAGAGGATGACGGGAGAGATGACAATTTGGGATATGGAAACTGATCCTCGACGAACCGAACATGACGAGAGACATAAACTTTTTGAGACACGGGTTCATAGCATTTATACCCTTTAGTGGTGGGGTGATATCCTAAGAAGACGCAGGGAGTGGAGCATGGTTGAAGTTCGTGGTGAGTGTAAGGGCGGAGCCATGGATAGACCAAGCAACCATAGGGACGAAGGTGGGTATATCTAGGAGGACGGTTATAGAGGGTTTCAAATGGAGATTTGTTAGAGAGAGTTTTGGTGGGCATACGGTTGATAAGATAGTTTGCTGTGGCAAGAGCTTCGACCCAAAAGTTAGTCGGGAGAGCAGAGTCGTATAGAAGAGAAACAACCGTTTCAATGAGATGACGGTGTTTCTGTTCAGCGACCCCATTTTGCTCAGGAGTGTAGGGACAAGAGGTGTGATGAAGGACTCCTAGAGTTTGAAGGAAAAGGCCAAAAGCATTATTTACAAATTCTTGGCCATTATCGCTTCGAAAAATTTTGATGTGAGAATTAAACTGAGTCTTAATCATTTTTTCAAAAGTCACAAAAACAGAGTAAGCTTCAGATTTATGTTTTAGGGGATAAATCCAGGTAAATTTGCTGAAATCATCAACGAAAGAGATATAAAATCGAAAGCCACTACAGGAAGGAACAGAAGTGAGACCCCAAACATCAGAATGTATTAATTGAAAAGGCGATGTGGCCTTATGTTCAGACAATTCAAAAGGTAAACGACAGGACTTGGAGACATAACATGATTCACAATGTAAAGGTTCTGAAAACTGAAAACCTAAGGAAGACAAAATAGATTTGGCAATCGCAGGAGCCGGATGACCAAGTCTACGATGCCAAGTGGACTCTTGGATAACTTGATACGCAATGGTTGGGAGTTTGGAAGGAAGTGTGTATAACACATGCTCACACAGGTCCTTGTACCGCACCTGGTTGGTAGTATTGTCCACTATCTGGAAATCATTGGCATTAAAAACAAGAGTGCAGTTGTTATCTTTGGTAAATCGATGGACAGAAAATAGATTGGAGGTAAGGGAATGGACATAATGAAGAGTAGAAAGGTGGTATTTACCATTAGGCATATGGACAAAACCGGAGCCAGAGTGTGTGATGGGTAGGGATTGACCATTGCCTACGGTAATAGTATCAGTACTAGTGTATTGATGAGGAGATTGTAGCTGAGAATAATCAGACGTGACATGGGTGTTGGCACCAGTGTCCAGATACCAGTTTCCAAAATGATTACTCGTAGATGCATGCATTGCACGGGGAGCACTAGAGGGGGAGTTCGTAGCATAAGAATCATCAAACCGATACCAGCACGTAGACGTAGAGTGGCCTCGTTTCTCGCAGATTTTGCAGATTGGCAGATCCCATGACGGTCGACCGTTGCCCTAGGACGATCGACCGTTGTTCCTTTCGCCACGTCCGCTGTTGTATCCACGTCCAGGAGACGGTCGACCGCAGTAGCCTCCTCTACCGCGACCTCGACCGTTTGTAGCGAGAAGTGCTGTGCGAGGTTTGGTGATGGTAGACTCGGTGAGGCTGAGTTTATTCTCCATCTCCAGGTTTATTTCTTCAGAGATCAGCCATCCAGAAAGCTGATTTAACGAAATATTGGTATTGTTCATGCGAATGTTTTGCTTAAAGGATGAGTATTCGGTGAGAAGACCACGAATAACAGCATTCACCACATCACGTTCGGAGACCTCTTATTTCAAGGCATCGAGATCCGAGAGAATAGTGGCCACATCATCAAGGTATTGTGTTATAGTTTTGGTGCCTTTACGAAGAGTGTGGAGTTTGTCCCGGATTTGATAAATATGAGCGGTGGACACGGAATTGTACCATGCGGCCAAAGCATCCCAGAGGGCAGCAGATGTGGTGAAGCCGCAAGCATGTTTGTGAACGGAGGGGCTGATGACCGCTAGGAGGCAGGCGCGGATCTGTGTGTCAACGATGGTCCAGGAGGTATACTCTGGATTAGGGACAGTTTTATCGTTTTTGGAGATAGTTGGTGCTGGGGCTGCTTCATGACCATCAATCCATCCAAGGAGGAGATTAGCTGAAAGAGCTGTCTGGACATTGAGAGACCATGCCGGATAATTTGTTTCGGTGAGTTTTTCTGGGATTAAGTTGTGGAGACTCCGAAGCAAAAGTTTTACTCCAGAGGGTAAGGAAGCCAAAGGATCCGACGGGGCTGCCATGGTGGGCGGTAGTCGGAAAAAAAGAGAGAGGCTAGGTTTTTGAGAGCCTTAGCTCCGATACCAGCGGCGGACCTCAATGAGAGTATGGGCGCATGGATATTCGCCTAGAGCCGATGACAGATTTTAGTAAAAATGACGAGTAATCTCTTCCCATAATAAAGCTGATTTCAGGTGAGGGTGGATCGGATCCACTGCCGGAAATCCATCTATTGGGCCGGTACAACTCTTTTTCTGCTCCGGCATCACCTCAGCGGTGTCTTGGTGTTGATTGTGGTGGTGATTGCGGCGGGTTTGAGCAGCGATGGCAAGTCTAGACGAAGTCCTCCAGAGGCGGATCACATCGCTGTGGCGACGGACGGAATTGAAGATGGCGCTTATCTCGGCTAGTGCGCGACTTCTCGGACATGGGTGATCCCCGATCATTCCTTCCTTCCATTCTTTCCTCCATTTTTTTAACGGAGTATGCAAATCGTCTCTAGAAATTGGGCTGCGATCAAGGGCGATGGCAGTGAGTGCTTTAGTGATGAAGACGATCTTGGCGGCCTTGCAATTTCAGCAGTAGCTTCATGCAACGTCAATGGTGACGGCAAAGCCAAAGGGTGGAGGCCGGCGATTTTTGTGATATGGCTGGCCGAATTGGTGGAGGTCGGCAATTTAACAAGATCGTGCAGCGGCGGCTTCTCTTTGTCGGCGGCGGCTTCTCTTTGCCATTTTGGATTTTTGAAGGAAAGCCCCCAATTTTTCCCCCTTTTCTTCCCTTATCTTTTTTGTTCCTTCCCCAGCATCTCTCTTCCTCTCTTTTTTTTGTACAAATGGCTCTCTCCCTTTTATTTTTTATTTTTGCTCACTTCGTGTGGTAAGAGAAAAAATTGGCCGAACAAAAAACACAACATTTTGTTCGGGTCCCACGGTCGGCGCCAAAATGATGGTGTAAATTATCGACCGGTATACCGTTTTTAGCCCGGCTAAAACGATAAACTAGTCTAAAAATACACCAAAATATAAACACGGGGATTTTGACGTACCCAAATCGGGAGAAAACCACGGGCCTTTTTTGGCGGTACCTTGCCAACGGGGGATTTTTATTAATATCGGGGGTGTATACACGGTACATAATTTAGGCGTAGAAGCCGTTAATGGAAGCTTCAAAGCTTCTTGAAGAATGAAAATACAAGAATTCTAGAAAGAGAATGTAATGGGCAGGGAGAAGAATGTAAGAATGGCCTCCCTTAACATTGAGGGGGTGCCCTCCTTTTATAGGAGTAGCTGGAGCATCTATGGAGGAATATTCTCTTATTCCTCCATTTTATTAAACAGGCCTGGTTTGACCGTTTTTCATAAATAATTGGGAAATGTGGGCCGAGCCACGTATTATTTCCCATCATGGCCTAGGAATGATTGTTATATACTCTAACACGCCCCTCACGTGCAGGGGTAAGCTCTTTAGGCCTTGCACGTGAAACCTTAATTTTTTTAAATTGGGTGGCGGTGAGTTTCGAACTCGTGACCTCTTGGTCATCAAGGCTCTGATACCATGTCAAGGAACCAACTCAACCAAAAGCTCAAGCTTGTGGTTGTGGCCCAGAAATGATTGTTATATACTCTAACAAATATTGCAGCTCCGTTATTTTTTAGTAACTTAGGGCATTTCACATTAAATTATTAAATATTTCATAAACTAATTATATTGTTCATTTCACAACATTAAAGATAAAACTAATTACTTCATAAATAGTTGCTAGTCTTGCTACGTATATACAACCTGAACATGGAGCTTGATGACATGGTAGAAAATATAGGATAATAAAATGCACAAATAATGTTTTCTTATTTTTAATATATATTCCTTTTTATGTATAAAAGAACTTTTATAGGTAAAGAATATATAAAGCACGATCATTTTTCAATAACTAGAATTTATTAATAAGCTTGACCAACGTAAAGATTGAATATTAAATACATGCATTTTTCTTGCATCTCTTTTATAAAAGTAAAAACTAGTGTTTACCCCGTGCTTCACACGGGCTCCTATGTATTCTAAACTTTTGAGATTTTATAAATATAATTTTAGTTGTTTTAGTTTTCTAATAGTGACAAAATATGTTTTATACTGATGGAATATATATTGGTATGTTAATTTAAAAACAAAAAATTATACAAAATTAATGGTCATTGAATTAATTAGTAATAGAAATGGTTTGAATTAATAAAATATTATAATAAAAAGTGGATTAGTTACATGCTTAATGATACATCATTAGAGAATATATATGTGTCACAATGTCACTTGTCAGTTGTCATCCTTTAATTAAACCAACTTTATTCTATTCACTTTGTTGAAAAATATATGTAGCAATAAAATAAATAATGTAGTAAGATAAAGTTTTTGGAACAAAGTATTTAATTAATAAATATGCACATGTAAAAAAATTATACAATCATTTTTTGAGAAGTAATACACTAAAATAAGTTGTGGATTGTATAAAAATAATTTTATGCGTGTGTGTGTGTGTGTCTATTCAAAATACGGAATATATTTTACTATGGTGAAATATATATTTTTAGAAATAAAGAAAATGAAAAATTTTATACAAACGTATTAAAAGATATTTAAAATGGGTGCAATGCATATATCCACTTCATAAATGAGTGCACATGTGGATGCACATGTGGCATGCCCCATGTCAACACTACAACAACTAAACTTTAATTTATTTTACATATATATATATAGATTTTGGTTCCTGTGAGAATGAGATCTTAGGAAAGAAATGAGAATGAATACGGTGCGTCCAATCTGTACCTGCCTGAACTATCGCAAGAGGGCTTTTTAGTATTTTCCTCACAATTTATTAACTATACGCAGTTCCCATTCGATAATAGCAGGCCCGATGAATTTTCTTTCCACATTTCTCTCCCATGTTCAGAAGTAAACTCCGGATTTCTCTCCCACCGAATCAACCACGTTCTCTCTTTCTTTGTTGAAATGGAGAGATCTTCGATCTTCATCCCTACGATATCTGCCAGAATCCTCACTGCACTTTTCGTTTCCATTGGTCCGATTGTTTCTCAGTTTCTATTCACCGTTTACACATCCAATTTTTCCATGGATTCAGGTATTTTTTCAATTCTTCACAGTTAAGTTGTTTTCATCATTTTCAATTTCGTTTTATCCAGTGCTAGGGATCCCATCCATTTGAAAATGCAGTTTTTCAATTCGCTGTGCTTATGTTTTTTTTCTACACCACCCACAGATGATGGTTCATCAATGCAAACAGACCAACCATTTCCGGAACAGGGATTTGCTCCACCATGTCCAGACGAGTCCAAACCTAGGGTCGGTATGCTTTTTCTAATTATAGAAGATGGAATTGCATTCTACAATAATTATGCAGCGTTGGTTGGTTTTGACACACGGAAAAGCACTTCAACGAAGTCACGGGATGGTGTTATTGTTTGGCAGTATGTTGTTTGCAACCGGGAGGGTCGAAAAAATGTTTCTTCCATGCCCAGGCCACTAGCACAAGACCGTGAAGATTCAGACCCTATTCCCAAAAAAAAGAGGAGATGCATCTCAAACCGTATTGGATGCAAGGCACGAGTGACATTGAGACTATCTGGCAATGTTGGATATTCCATTGTATTTTTCGAAGAACACCACAATCACCATATGCTGTCCGCTCCCTGTAGGCCATTTTTGAAACTGAATAGGAATCTTGACATTGGACACAAGAAATTTATCTTGAATTGTGCAAAGGCCAATATTGGTACAATGAAGTCTTACCGCCTGTTTAAAGAATCTGTAGGTGGGTATGACAACATTGGAGCTACCGCAGTGGATTTCAAGAACTTTAAGCGAGATCTTAAAGCTTACATAGCTGGTGGTGATGCACAAATGGTCATTGACAAGCTTTTCAGGAAGCACGAAACATGTTCTGCATTTTTCTTTGAGTATGATGTCGATGAAAGTGACCAACTTACAAGGCTATTCTGGTGTGACCCCGTTGCTAGGAAGAATTATTCGTTGTTCGGGGATGTTGTCTCATTCGATGCAACTTACGAGACAAACAGGTATCCTGGTCATGGCTGCACAGTAGCAAGACCTTTATGTTCTTTCAATGTTTACACCATTGCTCAATTGTCTTACACTTTCATGTTTGAATCACATGTCCTCCATTTATGCAGATACAATATGATTTTCGCTCCATTCACGGGCGTAGACAATCACTGTAAGTGCATTACTTTTGGGGCTGGTTTGCTAACTAGGGAGGATGACGAGTCATATTCATGGCTATTTCGTTGTTTCTTAAATGCTATGGGAAATTCCCCGAAGTGCATCATCACTGACCAAGATCCTTCATTGCGAGGTGCAGCCCAAAAGGTATTTCCCCAAACTTCACACCGGTATTGTATGTGGCATATAATGAAAAAAGTTGGTGGTAAAGTGGATGACGAGTTGGCTAAACATTCAGAGTTTCTGACAAAATTGAATGCAATTTTTTGGAGTCCTTATCTTGAGCCTATAGATTTTGAAAAGAATTGGCATGATCTGATGGCTGCGTATAATTTAGACAATCATAAATGGTTTCAAAAACTATTTGAAATACGTTTCTCTTGGATCCCCGCGTACTACAAAGATCTGTTCATGGGTGGCTTATTACGCACCACATCACGGTCAGAAAGTGAAAACAGCTTCTTTGACGATTTCACAGGACAGAATTTTAGCCTTGTAGAACTTCTTATGCAGTTTGAAAGTGCTATGGACTCTCAACGGCATAAAAATGCTGACTTGAATGCTGATGATGAAGCTTGTTACCCTGAATTCAAGACTCCGCTGGACATTGAGCACCACGCAGCATCTGTTTACACAATAACAATTTTCTACGAGGTACAAATGGAGATATCCGAAGCTTGCTTTTCTTGCCGTGTACTTCATGTCGATGAACTAGATTAGATGGCCAACAGGTGCAATATTTAATTAAGGAAAAAAGGGGCAAGAGTTTCAAAGTTCAATTCTCCCGCATTGCTGCACCTGTAAACATTACCTCCAACGGGGTCTACTGTGCAGACATATTTTCCTAGTTTTCAAAGATGAGAACATCCGCCAGATCCCCGACATGTACATTACGAGCAGGTGGTGTAAAACCAGATTTATTAAGCCCATGTATGATGTGCCCGATGCAGATTTTGAAGCTCTATCCGCTGTTGAAGAAAAGAAAATTGCATTAAACCGCTTGTGGTCAGATCTTTTCTTCTGTGTTTTTGCCGTTGAGCAAAAGCCAGATTTGTTGGGTGGATTTTCAAAGATTATCCGTCAACAGAAGGACATCCTCGAAACCGCGCTACGGTCGGGTGTTGTAAATACTCAGAACACCATCTTTGAATGTTATTATGGAGTACCTGCCCCGGCCAATATAACAGTACTACCACTAAACCTGTACACAACAAGGGAAGTGGCAAGAGAATCAAAAGTGCAAAAGAGTTTAGCATTGAACAATCAAAGAAGAATAAACGAATGTGCAGAAAATGTCAGCAACTTGGGTATCATGACAGTAGGAATTTCCCCAAAAACATTTCAGGGTGATTGCATTAGACTTTATTTGTAATGTTCTTAATTTTATTTCCTTTATTCTAACTTTCATTACGCTCTCAATACGTCGTGTGGGTTGAATTAACAGCTTTGCAATTGCTAACCCAACGTGGTGCTTTTACTTTTGTATTTTTCTCTCCCTCAATGCTTTAAGTAATCTATTCCAATCTACAATTGACAACATCTTTTTATGATTCCCGTTTATGCAGAGCATACCCCTTATTAAAAACGTCGGCAAAACACAACGACGTGTCACGTATTAAATCTACCGTCATTTGTGGTGATGCAACAAACAGACCTTATTACGATCAACATGATGAACATTAAGAGAAAAAAAATCTCTCAAATTCATTATTTTATTGGTCCTGCTTCCAAACTATCAAGGCTTACCACACACTCAATGTCCTTGGAATAGAGGCTTACCACACCCACGCATGATGACTTTGAATATATGCATTAACTTAACGAGTCCAAACAG